GTTTTCTTGTTTTGTAGTGAAACCTTGCACATATAATTTTGCCCATTATTATTTTCTTTTGACAAAAAAAAGGAGCGTTGAACTTGAAAGAGCAGGTAAGTCATGTTTTTTCTCTTTTTCAGCAGTACATTTACAATTGAAGAGTTTCGTTGCAAAAAAAAAAATTATATATATATATATATATATATATATATATATATATATATATATATATATATATATATATATATATATATATATATATATATATATATTATTTAAGACATCAACAGTCAAGTTCATTAACAATTTTTGTACATTGAACTATTAATTGAGCTCAGTCAAGGCCAGGATCACAACATTTTCAAATCCAGGATATTTTTTATTTAATTTTATGTCCATAAATAAGTCAAAAAACATGCTAAAATGCAACATATTTATCTTAACATTGTCAAATATCTTAAATTGGTTAAAAAAATCAATACATTATAAATATATGAAATAGTATATACAAAGATTGATTAATAATAATAAGATTCTGAGTTAGATTTGTCCAGAATGTACACAACATAACATAACTCTTTATTATTATTATTATTATTATTATTATTATTATTATTATTATTATTTGCAAAACGCTATATCCACCTTAGGCTATATTTTACTACAGTAAACCCATTAAGAGAAGCTAGTGAATTAATGTTATGTTTGATAAGTAAGATTAAGTTAATTAGATAAACGACTTGTAGCTAAGAGTGAAGGGCGGCTCCTTATGATCAGAGCGGGCGGAGCCACGGTGTCACAGAGACCGCGACACAAGCTCGCCCTGTCATATTTTTTTATTATTTTCACTGTAATCATAATAATAATAATAACTATAATAATAATAATAATAATAATAATAATAATAATAATAGCTTATTTGCTGGTTGTTGTGAAAAAGCAAAACTGTTTATTTTTCTCCATAAAAACAAGAAACTGGTCTGGCGGATATCGCATTTTGTGGAAAAAATACATTTTGTACTCGGCCTAAAATGTACATTTTTAAATGTTATTAATGGCAGCAATTCACACATAGATAAAGGTACATCTGAACAGAGATTTCCAATAATAAAATCCAAATGTCAAAAAATGGCATTTATCGCGTTTTGTAACCAAACTCTTCATTTGCAATCTTTTCCTATTTTTTTATTATTAAAACAAACTATATATTTTTTAAAAAGATTTAGATTTTAGAATATGCTAATTAAACATTTAATTTTCGATTTTTTTTAAATGTTGTCTGCTATTCTTGTACAATAAATGCTGTAATTATTCCATTTGTGCACATACATTATCTTTTTGATGAAATGTACAGATATAGGTGAATTTAAAATGTAATTTTAATCTAAAATGTTAAATGTAAACTATCTGCTAATATAATGATTATGAGTTTTGTCCGCACAATATAAAACAAGTTGCAGAAAATAGATGTTTGTTTGTTTGCCATTGCTTGTGTATAGGATTAAAAATGCAAAGTTTAAATTAAAATAACAAAGTGAACTATTCTCAGAACACCCGAGAGCAAGTTCTCAACAAAGTCTGAGAATAAATAAACAACATCTTGCTACAAAGCATGTTATGCTCTTTGTACCACATTCATAAAACAAATGTATCAAAAAATCTTTGAAGAAAGCAAAAAACCTAGAGGAACCAGTTCATTAGCACCATTAGCAGGTAATTATCATTAATTAAAGGTAATTATCATTTTTATAACCACAAAATGAAACTATGCATAACTAATATGCTCAGCCAATGAAAACATTTGGAGTTAAACAAAGTTTTGACATCAGATTAATCAGTTAGAATTATTGTATTAAAATATAAGACCATAAAACAAAAATGTGGACACCCCAACAAATATTTTTGAAGATAATAATAAATAAAATTGTAATTGACACAAAATCAATCTAAGACATAGAAAATATTATATTTTTGTAAGTTTTAATTGTTTTGCTACACTTCATTTGGCTTTAAATGCATTCTTATTTTTAATCCTAAAGCTGTTACGAATTTAATCTTACCTACAGTTGAAGTCAGAATTATTAGTCCCCCTGTTTATTTTTTTTGTCCAATTTCTGTTAAAAGGAGATAATTTTTTTCAACACATTTCTAAACATAATAGCTTTGATGACTCATTTCTAATAACTGATTTATTGTGTCTTTGCCATGATGACAGTAAATAATATTTTACTAGATATTGGTTCGAACCTCGGCTCAGATGGCGTTTCTGTGAGTTTGCATGTTCTCCCTGCGTTCGCGTGGGTTTCTTCCGGGTGCTCCGGTTTCCTCCACAGTCCAAAGACATGTGGTACAGATGAATTGGGTAGGCTAAATTCTCCATAGTGTGTGAGTGTGTGTGTGGATGTTTCCCAGAAATGGGTTGCGGCTAGAAGGGCATCCGCTGCATTAAAAAAAAAACCTAATGCCGGTTCATTCCGTTGTGGCGACCCCGGATTAATAAAGGGACCAAGCCGACAAGAAAATTAAATGAATGAATGAATGAATGAATACTGTAAAAAATTCCACTCTCTGTTAAACATCATTTGGGAAATTATTAAAAAAAAATCAAAGGGGGGCTAAAAATTCTGACTCAAACTGTATATTGTAAAAATGCAGCAATACATTTTTTCCATATTGATATGAATCCTTTATAGAAGAGGATGTACTCATTTATCCTGGGAATAGGTGAAATTTAAAGCATAAATTTGAGGCACATCATAATATAATCATCGGCAGCTAAAAAAAAAAATATTACAGAAATACTTTTTTGGGGGGGGGGAGATTATATTATCTTATAATATTTATAACTGAAATACAATTTAATTGTCTTTAAAAGTGCTGTATATTAGCTTTTGACTCTTCTAAAGCATAAAAATACCATAATATCTGGTATTTTATCTGGTATTTAAGAAACATGCCAAGTGAGCACCCAAGTGTCATTTCAGATGCTTTGGTGGAAACCAGCGTCTTTCATTCATTTATTCATTCATTCAGAAAGGCTCTGAAAGCATGCGTCCGTGAGCAAAATGCGACCTCCGGTGGACAGTATCAAATGAACTACATAATGAGACAGATTCAGTTCTATATTTCTATATGAGTTTATTAATTAGCAAATAATATAAATATTATGAACCTACACATTAGGTGAGCAGGTTACACTATACGCGTTTCCTTACCACACGCTTTATGATACGCAGTGATAAGCAGCTGGGCTGTTTGCACCAGACGAAACACGACAGAAATTTAAATACAGCCATTCAGAAGCACGGAATATGCATTCACTCACGCAATAGTAACGTTTATAATCTATTTAATACATAATAACCCTAAATTATTAAATGTAGATGCTGAATCACGTGTTTAGTTCTAAAGTTCAATTTTAAGATCTGAGGTGAACCATCTGCTGCTGCTTTAAGTAGTAGGCATATGACAATAAATGTCATGTAAAATGGCATTCAAACTCACAATGTTGACATTTAACACTGAATAACACTGAAATGAGGTTTACCTGATTGTCATAGTTTTCTGCTGTTCATCTGTGAGAAATAAAAGCCATTTCTAATATATCAATTCGAGGTGTTGGTTAAAACATAAACTCCTTTTAATATGGAAAATATTCCTTCTATCGCTTGCCGTTGCTTTTATTTAGAATACGGTTTAAATCACTCGCTCCTGTCCTCAATCTGGCAACCTACACTTCCGTTTGTTTTGATCCAGGTGTGTAATACCTAGTTCAACCACTGGGTGTCACACTTATATTGCACTTTTTAATGATTCATTAACTCTTATCACTGAATACATGCGACGTATCTTTTATAAACAACAGATGTTTGAAAAGAAAGAAAAAAGAAATCTTGCCACAAGGCAGCACTCTACATTCAAATACATCATATATATCTCACAATCTACAAAAAAGCTCAAGAAACCGGTTCTTTGGCATCTTAAACAGCTGTTCATCACTTTAGGGGTATATTATCATATTAGTATAGGGGTTTTAGATGCATGACATGAAAGTATGCATGAATAATTTCTCTAGCCACAGGCAAACTTTTTAGAACATGTTGATAACAAGTTTATAATCATATTTCCCCCCAAATAATAAGTTATAAGTGTGATGATGTGTGTGTATAAGTGTGTTTTGCTTTTTTCTATCAGAGATCAAATGTACTGCATAGCTGCGGAGGCACCTATTGTTTTCGTTAGCGTTCATATTATTGTTCTCCTTTTTTAGTTTCTTCTGCCAGATTTGAATGGCAGCCAATATAACCATATTTGCGGGAAAGTTGTATAATTTGGCACAATGATAGAAGGCAGTCTCAGCATTAACCAGAGCAAACATGAAGTTTCTAACTCAAACTCTCTAGCGCTACCATTTGTACAAAGTTTCACTTTATGGTTATCTTTATATTTTTAAACAGAATGGGCTACAATCAAGATTCTCTTTCCTCTGATTCCTTTGCTCAAGCCAATTCAAACACACCCTATGACGTCATTTTCCATCATAAAAATATTTGAGCTATTTTGAATTTTCTCATAAAACTGGTCTGGTGTCAGCCATTTAGATTTTAGTAAAAAAAAAAAAGTGCTATATTTTGCAAACATATTCACATATCATTACAAAACATGGTATATGGATCTAAAACCATGAAAGTATCTTACTCAAAAACTCCTGGAGCAGCGCCACATTGTGGGCAAAGGTTATAAGCTAGTTTTTTTTTTTTTTGTTTGTTTTTTTAATTGCTAACAACTTTTGCTAAACTTTCTCATTGATATGACACTTGTCTAGTTATATTCCCTGGATCATGCTGAGACCACTGATACCAAATATGCCAAAATCAACTTCCATTTTGTACTTGAATGAAAAACCTATTTTTTCTAACTCTTTTTTTCCGATGAGATATATATATATATATATATATATATATATATATATATTTCACTGAAATGTTTTCTTTTACATCTCTGTTTCTCTTCAGTACCAGTAGTCACATCAGTATGGCGGTTGTAGTTGTGCAGGATCCCAATAAGGAAACGAATTGGAGTTCAAATCTATGTTCCTGTTGCCAGGACTTAAACTCCTGTAAGTACAGAGGAGTAGTTCACTTCCAGAGCGAAAATTCGGTCATCATTTACTCCACTTGTTCCAAAACTTCTGTTCAACACTGGAAATGCTGTCAAAACTTACCATTGACTTCCAGAATAGGAGGGGGGATACTAAGTCAACAGTGACAATTAACTGAAAGTGAAAGTCAGTGGTGGCCAGTCATTCTAGTGAACTACTCCTTTTAAATGCCTTCTAATAAGTAGTTCTGGCATTAGCACTGTTTGTTAAAAATGAACTTAATAATGTTTATGTTATGTTATGCACATTTGTTGTGGTCCTCAGGCTGCTATGCATACTGGTGCTGTCCGTGTTTTGCCTGCACCACTACTAAAATGTTTGGGGAGAGCAGATGTCTGCCTCTGGTGGATATACTAGGACCTGCTGTCATGGGCAATTTCGGAATTGCAATTTGTGTGCCACCTGTGACTTTGTCATTGAGAGTGGCAATGCGACACAAATATAAAATCAAGGTTAGTTTACTGTGATACGATGGAAGCTTGTTTCTGCCACGGAATACTTTTTTGTTCTACAAAATTGTGACCTACTTGTGACAACAGAGTTGCATTTCAAACTGTTATATTATTAGAAGAACTGAGGCTTTACTTTGCAAGTTCATTGGCAATCTCACATATCCAAATTTAATATTAATAAAAAAATTATTAACACTGTTTTCATTACAAATTTTAATTTTTCTTGTAATTATGGATTTTATATATTTTTTATCAGAATTTTTAAACTCTAAATTGTTATAATAAACTTTTTGAGTTACTCATTTAGAATTGTTATTTATATCTGGCAATTTTGAATGTTTAACCAAAACTTTTGACTATTTTTTGCAATTGTTGATCTCTCAAAACTTTAAATAAACTAAGATTAAAAAAATGGTTATTTTCAGAAAAAAATTGCTATTTTAATAATTTGTTTGCAGTGATGGAAAAAGTACTAAAAAAGTCAAACTCATTACAGTACTTGCCCAAAAATGTAGTGCAAGTACAGTAAAAGTATGTTGTGGATATTATTCAAAGAATGAGTAAAAAGTAGCCCTTTTAAAACTACTCAAGAGTTGTGAGTATTAAGTATTACGCTTCAAAAGGCTGATGCGTTTTTGTGCAATTTGTGCATGTGTGTGAAAACGTAACATACTGTAGTGCATTTAGTTATTGTTTAGGACTATTTGGTGATTTCATTTATAATACAGAAAACATCCCTCATCTTGTCATTAATGTCTAAACCAGAGATGCCCAAACTAAGGTCCACGGGCAAAAGGTGGCCCATGTTAACTGTTGCATAGTTAGTTAATCATTATCTTGAGTTTAATTAGAGTAATGTGTTCATCTATACAAATAATAATTATAAAGGGCAGGTCACTTTAAGAGTTTGGAAAAGGTGTGATGACGTTGATGTTAGACAGGATCACGAGTTTTGGGGAGTGTGAGTGTGGGAAACAGAAAAGTGAAAGACACCAATAAAAATATAAAAGTTCTTTGACATTTGGTGTCATCTTTACGGACACAACAGTAACCTGACAGTTGATTTTGGCCCACCAAACAATCAAAGAGATCAGCGAATCCCTTACATAGAGATTGTCATGTCTAATTTAACATAAGTTTTTGATTGTTTAATTGCCGACAAGAACAATTACTAAAAAACGAAACTAAAATAAAATGTTTCGATTAAATGTTATGAACTAAACTGATATTTTTTAAAAGTTATGAAACCCTAAAACATTTTTTTTTAGCATTGCAAGTCATTGCATTTAAATATGTTAGATTTTCCTTCTGGACACTGTTAAAGCTTTTAAACGGTTTGCTGAATTTATAAAGTGCCCATGTCTTGAGGTTGTTCAGTATGATGCAATTTACTTTCTATGTGCGATTGGAATGAACATAGATCGCAGAACAGATTTTTTTCAATCCCTTTAAACAAGAAATATTAAAGTAGTGACCACAGGTTGAAGGAAAATAGTGGAGTAAAAGTACTGATACAGCACAAAATAATTACTCAAGAGAAAGTAAAAGTACACATTTTTAAAACTACTTAGTATAGTACAATTTCTGAGAAAAACTACTTAATTACAGTAATTTGAGCATTTGTAAAATAATTACTTTACACCACTGATCTTGCAAACCAAAATTGCGACCTTAGTGATATTTTATAAACTAATTTCAGGAGAAGCACGATCAGTTTTGATGAGGCTAATTCGTTATTGACAATAATTCTAGTATATAATTAGCAGAACCATCCTGGAGGTGTTCTGGAGCCAGCCTTGACATTGTGCTCTATCCTGATGAGAGAGGGTGTCTTATTGTGCTCATTGCCCTCTCCCCAGACAGCTTCTATACAGTCAGATATCTGTGAGGGTGAACTCATGAAACTTAATTTTTGCAAATTGTGAGTTTATTGGCCATCTCACTATTCTGGGTTTATACCACACAATTCTGTTTATAACTTCACAATTCCAAGAAAAAATAAAATAAACATCTGAATGGAGAGATGTAAAGTGACAATTGTAGAATATAAACTGAATTATGAGAATTGTAAGATGCAAACGTGCAGTTCTGGACGAAACATCTATCTGTTAGCAAGGTGTTAACTCACAATTGTAGTTTCTCACTCTAGATTGTTAATTTATATCTTGAAATTCTGACAATATTGTGACTTTATTTGTCATCATTAATAGGAACAAGCTTCCATAGGTATTGCTTTCCATCTGCAATAAAAGCCAGAAAGCTGCATAACAATAATTTGTTTGTGTTGTAACAGGGCAGTATCTGCAACGATATCGCCGTGTCTTGCTGCTGTGTTATGTGCTCATGGTGCCAGATGCACAGAGAAATCAAAGCACGCAATAATAAGCCAGCAAACATGGTATTGGTCACACAACAACCACAGGTTCAACAAACAACCACCACAACACAAGTGATCACTTCACAGCAGACAATTGGAATGGCGGCTCCAGTTATCACCACAGTTGTTCAATAAAAAGTCCTACTCAGATGTGCATTACACCTAATGATGATGATGATACGCAAAGCTTTTAGATCGATATTATAATATCTAATCTGCTTAATCAGAATAAGACATATAAATTGCTTGGGTGAATTTTAATAGGAAATGTCTTGATATTGCTTACTCTGTGATTTTTCCATGATTGAAAAGGTAATCAGAAATATTAAAATGACTTAATATTCAAATAGTAAAAAAATACATCTGAGTAAAAATGATAAAAGAAGTTTTTTCTTACACAGTTCTTGAGGTTGTTACATGAAGGATGTGTCTCAAACTTCCCTTTCTTTTACATTTTAACAGATGTCAATATCTGTAATGATCATTCACATGGATCTGTAAATTCATTTTAGGAGTTTTGAAGTTTTATTTTTTAGACTTATATTTCTTGCAATTTTAAGTTTATAGGCAATCTTGCCATTTTTAATAACTCAAAAGAGTGTAATGTGAACTTTTAAACTTGATAATCTAACAAAACAGTCCATAACTATATCAGTTCGTGTAACAGTTTTAAAAAGTTCAAAAGGAGAAGTTGGGAGAGTTAGTTTCAGAGTTAGGCCGTTAATTAACTTAAGTTAAGATAGGAACTCTATTTTACAATTTGAATCAAACTCAGAAATATTAGTTCTTAAAATTTAATTAGAGTCTTGTCTCTTAACAGTCTGTTTCTTTAAAGCTGTGTTTATGTTTACTCTTTGCAAAATGCTGTATGAATGAAAAGTTTTTGTTCTTTTTTTTTTCAGTTTTACTCAATTCAACAATAAAAATGATGCTACAAAAAGTCATGACAACATGATTTTGTCACATTTTTGATAATCAGGTTTCGGCTAAACCAGATGTATTCAACTGTATGAAGTTATTAAGTTTAAATTAATATTTTTTATCAGTTTGATCAATGTGAGTGAGGTTGATTAGAAAAGTGTAATACCTCTAATGGATAAAAATACCATATGTTTACAGATAATTAAGAAACACGCAAAGTGAACACTTGTTTATCTGAAAAACAATGCTGAAACCAGCAATTCTGCTTGAATTCTGCTTGAAAAAGTCTCTTACAAGCCTAAACGCCGTCTTTTTTTTTTTTTGGTTCTTTTAACCTGCTCACTGCCACTGCCCCAGATTTCCTTGATGATAAACCGCACATTCATTCATTCATTCATTCAGAAAGGCTCTCAAAGCATGCGTCCGTGACCGAAATGTGACCTCCAGTGAACAAAAAGCAGTTTCCGTAATTATACACAGATTCAGAGCTCTACATGAGGTTATTTATAAGCAAATAATATAAATATAATGAACATAATATTTGGTGAGCAGGATACACTGTAATCCTATGTTCTAACAACACGATATGTGATAAGATTTGTAGGGATAAGCAATTTGGCTGTTTGCACCAGACGAAACACAACAGAAATTTAAATACAGCCATTCAATAGCACAGAATGCGAACTCACTCATAAAATGGTAAAGTTTCTAATTTTATTATTACATATTAAATCTCTTTAACATTATTAAATGTACATGCTAAATCACTGATGTTTTTTGTTCTAAAATTTTATTTTCAAGATCTGAGGTAAACTGTCTGCTGCTGCTGCTGCTTTCTGTATATGGCAATAAAAGTAATTTAAAATGACATTTAAACTCACATTGTTAGCTTTTAACACTGAATAAAGCACATGAGGTTTACTTGAGGTGATCTTGTTGTTCAGCTGTGAGAAAAAGAAGTAGTTTCTGATATATCAAATTGAGATGTTGTTAGGACAAAAACTCCTTTTAATATGGAAAAAATTCCTTCTATCGCATGTTGTTGCTTTTATACAGAACACGATTTAAATCAACCTTTACGCTCAATCCCCAGACTCGCTCCCCACACTCACTTTCATTGGTTCTCAACCTGGCAACTTGCGCTTGCATTTGTTTAAATCAACACTCTGGGCCAGAGTGGACGCACCCCTCCCATGGCACACAAAACAAAGTCCTGAAAGTTAGAATTCAGTTGCTCTCACATTTCTCTTCTATTTTATACTGCTTATGAAAGCAGTGCCAACAATTTCACAATTGCACAACAATGTAATTGTACGGGCAGTTTCTGCTGGGCGATGACAAACAAATGAATGATTGATCAGTGTGAATGGGCCCATAGGACAAATTTTAATTTAGTTCTACTTACTGCAAATGTATTTTTCTAGTTCTTATAACCTAATCTAACTTGTTGCCACAACGTAATTTTTCTAGTTTCTTGAAACAAGCGTGTACTGTTGAACCTGAGTCATTGTTCATTATTTGTTCATGGTGACTAATGCAGTTAATTATTCATTATTCTATGTTTTAACATTCAGAAAGATAAAGTGATGCTTGATTGTGTTTTTTTTTATAATTTATTCATGTTAACTAATGCATTACATAATGTTAATTAATACAACTTTATTCTAAAGTGTCAAATTTGCACATGAGGGTAAATCTGCGATGATTTTCTGCCTCTATTTTTAGGGATTCAATAAGCGAGATGTGGAAATAATCAGACAGCTTTTTACCCTTCCTTCACATTGTTCTGCTCACTTCATTGGACGTTTCAGGTTTATCTGCATTTTCTGTGGTCCAGTAAACATATATAGTTTGCTGTATTCTTCTTCCGTAGTGAAACCTTGCAAGTATAAATGTGTCTGCTTTTACTTTCTTATGACAGTAAAAGAAGCGTTGAACTAGAAAGAGCAGGTAAGTAACATCTTTTCTTTTTTTCAGCAGTAAACTACATTTACAATTGCAATCTGTGTCTATTTTTATTATTAAAACAAACTATATATTTAAAAAGATTTCGTTTTTAGAATATAGAAATTTACCATTTATTATTGAGGTCTTCTTTTTAAATGCTTGTCTACTATTCTTGTACAATAAATGCTGTTATTATTCCATTTGTGCACACAACATTTGTTTTTAAGGTTTACACAATACTTTACAATGAGAATACATTATTAAAAATGTATGTATAAGTTGTTCATTAAACTATCAGTAAATGTAATGAATATGAACAAAATATTTTTTTTTTCACAATGTAAAAGGCTGCCCAAAATAGATGTTTTTTGTTTTTGCTTTTGCTATTTGCATATATGATTAGAACACCTGAGAGCAAGTTATCAACAAAGTCAGAGAATAAATGAACATAAAATCTTGCTACATAACAGATTGTGCTCTTTGTTTCACATTCACAAAACAAATGTATCTTAAAATCTGCAAAGAAAACAAAACACCTTGAAGAACCAGTTCATTGGCATCATAAGAAGCTGTGCGCGACTGTAAAGGTACATTATCAGTTATTCAACCATGAAATGAAACTATGCATAAATAATTTGGTAAGCCATCGTAAACATTTTCGAACATTGTGATGAAAATAGGTTTTAGGTTAAACAAAGTTTTATATTTATAAACCGTGTTTTATTTGACATCAGATTAATTAATTCATCTGTTAAAATTTGAATTGTTGTATCAAAAAATAAGATCATAAAACAAATATTTTGAACGCCCAAACAGATATTTTAGGAGATAATATTGAATCAAATTTTAATTTCTATAGGAAAACAATCAAAGATCTACAAAATATTACATTTGTGTATGTTTTAATTGTAACATTCACCTATACTTTTTGGGAGGGTTAAAACACAATGGTTTTCTATTTAATCTTATTCATCTCTATGTAATCTTCATAAATTATATAAATTTTATTATCTTTAACCGGTTTGACTTACTCTTATCACTGAATACATGAGACATATATTTTATAAATAACCAATGTTTAAAAAGGTCAAACCTTTCCACAAAGGAGCTTACAGTATGGTTATCAAATCCTTTAAAAAACAAGCTCAAAAAAGTGGTTCATTGCCATGTTAAGCATCTGTGCATCACTTTATGGGAATATTATAATTTTTGAAGCTTTAAATTAAAATATGCAGAAATAATTTGTCTAGCCTCTGGCAAACGTTTTTAAACATGTTGATAAAAGCAAGATTACATCATATTTTCCCCTAAATTATTATAAGTAGTAGGTCAAATATACTGCAACACCAAATCAGAAAAGTTTATGGACAGTATGGATTTCATTGTATTTCATTGCAGACAATATGAACACAAAATATTTCATGTTTGTCTTTATTTCCTTTGTTAATACACTTCCTTTTCTGTCATTCAGACATGCAATACATTCCAACCAAAGTAGAGACAGGAGCAATTTAGGGCTAGTAATAAGCTAAATTGGTTAAATAATGGTGTGATTTGAAACAGGTGATGTCAACAGGTAATTGTAATTTTAATTTTGTACAAAAGCAGCATCCAAGAAAGGTCTAGTCCTTTAGGAGCAAAGATGGGTCGAGGATCGCCAGTTTGCCAACAAATACATAAGAAAATGATTGAAATGTTTAAAAACAATGTTCCTTAAAGAAAGATTGGAAGACATTTAGATATTTCACCTTCAACAGTGTACAATATCATTAAATGATTCAAGGAATCTGGAGGAATTTCAGTGCATAAAGAACAAGGGTGCAAGCCTAAGCTGAACAACCTTGAAGTTCAATCTCCTAATCCAGGTGGTACTGCATCAAGAATTGTCAGTCATCTATAAGCGATAACGCCACATCTGCTATTTTGGCAAACCTTTGTCAAGTACTACACAACATAGTTACATCCACAAATGCCAGTTTAAACTTTACTGTGCCAAAAGGAAGCCCTGTGTTAACAGTGTCCAGAAGCGCAGTCAACTTCTCTGACTTTTCAAAGACATCTGGGATGGACCATCACACAATAGATACATGTACTGGGGTCAGATGAATCAGTATTTCAGGTATTTTTAGGAGAAATGGGCACCGTGTGGAGACTTAAGAAGAAAAGGATCATCCAAGCTGTTACCATCAACAAGTCCAAAAGCTAGGGTCTGTCATGGTATGCAGTTGTGTCAATCCCCTTGGCAAAGATAACTTGCACTTCTGTTATGGCACCATTACTGCTGAAAAGTACAAAGAGATTTTGGAGCACAATATGCTTTTCCATGAACACCCATGCATATTTCAACAAAACCATGCAAAACACATTCTGCACACAATATAAAGTCTTGGCTATGGAGGAAGAGGATACAGGTGCTTGACTGGCCTGTCTGCAGTCCCGATCTGTCTCCAATAACGAATGTGTGGCTCATTTTGAAGCCCAAAATGCAACAACAAAGACACTGCACTGTTGCCCAAATTAAGACTTGTTTGGAGGAAGAACGGGACAAAATTACATGTGAAACACCTCATCTCTTGGTGTCTTCAGTCCCTAAACCTATTTTAAGTGTTGTGAAAAGGAATGGCGACATTACAAAGTGGTAAATGCTTTACTGTTCGGACTTTTTTGTGAATGTGTTGCAAAATTAGAATATGTGTTTACTTTAAACAAAATCATCATTAAACGCTTACTGCAATGAAACAGAAGTCAAAGTAAATTTAGAAATCCCTCCTATCTTTTTTTTTTTTTCATTTGCGTTTTCCGTAGTGTCCCAACTTTTTCTGATGTGAGATTGTACATATACTTTAACATGTTTTTGCATTTCAGACATTGTTGAAACTCACCAAACAGGATCATACAAATAGTTTCGTTTTCTGAACAATGATAGATGATCTAAAAAAAGCATATGCATAAGACATACTTCTTAATACTTTACTGCATGCATTGTTTTATTTAAAAGACTATTATTGAAATAATGAATTAAATTGGATTTATTATAGTTTTAAATCTAAATACTTAACCACTAATTTGAATGCACACATACAAAAAAAATGTAAGTTGATTTGAGAGTCCTCCAAAATTGCTTAAAAATTTCAAACTTTATTAGAACTATTATAAAACACACAGTTACATTTCACCATGGTAAAGGTGCTAAACGTATGAGGTGCTAAACGTATGCAAATACAGTTTTTACAAATTGCATTGTGCCTTTAAATCAAGGCATATGGGTATGTTTGATGATGTGAAATTATCCTTTATATAACCAGGAACTGAGATATTATTTTATGTTAGGATAATTTGTTGTTTTTCTTCAGTATCACTACAGTCACATAAAGATGGCGGCAGTAGTTGTGCAGCAGGTTCCCTCTAAACCTCAGGAAACTCTCTGGAATTCAGGAATATGTGACTGTTTCCAGGACTTAAACTCTTGTAAGTATAAAAGTCAAATGTAGAGGAGTAGTTGACTTCCAGAATGGAAATTCGGTCATCATTTACTCACTCTATACTTGTTTCAAACCTGCATGAGTTTCTTTCTTCTGTTCAACACAGAAGACGATATCGTGAAAAATGCTGTCAAACTACCACACCATTGACTTCCAGAATAAGGGGGAAATAGGAAGACAATAGTGAACATTAACTGGAAGTGGAAGTCAGTGGTGGCCAGTCATTCTAGTGAACTACTCCTTTTAAAGGCCTTGTAATAAATATTGCAGGCAATTAGTATACCATTTGTTAGAAACGATCTCAATAATGTCATGTTTTGTGTGTTTGTTGTGGTAATCAGGCTGCTATGCGTACTGGTGCTGTCCATGTTTTGCCTGCTCCACTGCTGGTGAGTTTGGGGAGAGCACCTGTCTTCCTTTGGTGGACATACTGGGACCTGCTGTCATGGCCAGTTTTGGAGTTGCATTTTGTGTGCCACCTGTGACTATGTCATTGAGGGTGGCAATTCGACACAAATATAACATCAGGGTAAGTTTATTGTGACACCATGAAAGCTTTTTTCTGCCATTGAATACTCTTCCTTTCTGAATTGTGACTTCATATCACACAATTCCAAACAGGTTTTATTTTTCAATCTCGCATTTATGAGTTTAATATTAATATACAAATTCTTATTGACACTGTTGTGGCGGGGAAGATGTGGTTGAACGACCTGCAATGGTGGAGAGCGGGTTGGGAGACCAGTGTTCTGTCGATTTGTCCTACTTTGTCAGATTGTCCTACCTCCCCATTCAAGAAGTAGGTAACACATTTTGATGATGCAATATGCTACCCATTAGATTTTGCAACCAGTGTAAATTTTAATGTTGAATAGTGTGATTTTGAACCTGTAATATTTCCCTAACCTAACTAATCCCTAACCCCAACCTCAGAACCATTCAAATACAGTGTTGGTAGCCAGGAGCGTATTTAGTGATTTGGGGGCCCTAAACAATTCCAACCAGGGGCCCTAAAAGTTCTAAAATGCATCTTTTGTATTTGATTTTTTTTATTATTATTATTTTGCTGTTTTTTATCTTCTATCATTCGATCTCATTTTCTACATCTTATTTATTCATTCATTTTCTTGTCGGCTTAATCCCTTTATTAATTCGGGGTCGCCACAGCGGAATGAACCGCCAACTTATCCAGCAAGTTTTTTACGCAGCGAATGCCCTTCCAGCCACAACTCATCTCTGGGAAATTCTACATTTTATCTTAATGCAAAATAATAATAACATGTAACGCACCTTGTAAAACGTTTGAACTGATTTATTTTCTTAATATGAATTCACAACTAAACATAATAAATGAACTATTATATTTTTAAAACTAAATCTTTACCTCATTCGACTGCTGGATTGGTCAATAATTGAAGGTAGGTGACACATTTGCGCAGATGTAATAATTACATTAAAATAAACATTTTTAGACCCTCTCACCATACAAAATATGTTAGAAAACAATGCTATTTATAATTTATAGTTTCATTTATACTTCTAGGTATTTATTTGGGGGCCCTAAGATATCCTGGGGACAGATATCCTGGGGAACTTCACCAAGTTCAAGCTTGGTGAACTCTGACCTGTAAAATCGCATCACATGATTGTGTGAGACCGATCGAAGATCAAAACATGACCTCTCTGGACAGAAATTTAAAACATTAACCAAACGCTAGCTTTTTGTGTCCAATCATCTTGTTTAATCCTGCCCCGTTCGCAGCGGAGCAGAATTTTGCAAGCACAAACTCTAGTGTGACCGCAGCATAAGGTGATAAGAAGGACCAGCGAGGAAAGAGGAGAGACCACGCACACACACCCAGAGTGTTAACGTGTATGCCAAACAAAAATAAAACGCTTTGCTTACCTGAATCGCCGACCCTGTCTTCTTCTTCCTTCATCTCAGAAAAACCTTATCACAGTGGTGCTCAAACCTGTAAAGAAGAAGAGTCAGGTGTTACTTATGACTTCTGATTGATCCACTTACCAGCCACAACATCCAGACATTTTATCCTACTCATCAGATAAGGCTACCAACACTGTATTTGAATAGTTCTGAGGTTAGGGTTAGGGGTTAGGTAAGTTACAGCAATACTACAGCTTCATATCACACTACTCCACATTAAAATTTACACTGGTAGCAAAATGTGATGGGTAGCATATTGTGTCATCGAAACGTGCTACCTAATCACGCCTTCCCCAGTACAACTGTTTTCATTACATATTAAACTTCTTGTCTCACTATTATGATTTTTATATATGTTTTAATCAGAATTTCTTGAAATTGTAGTTTTTTCTGTATTCTATTTATAAGAAACTCTGAATTGCAAGAAGTTAATACAGTTATAAATTCTAAATTTTAGAATACAAGAATATTGTGAGAGTTGTTTTTAACTTAGCGCTTAACACTTTTTGCTGTTTCTAGTTTATAATTGTTCATCTTGCAATTCTGACTGTTTAACTTTCGTTTATTTCTTGCAATTGTGGGTTCATATAGGCTTTGTCACAATTCTGTTAATAAACCAAGATTTCAAGATACAAACAGACATTTCTGAAAATAGTTATTTGCTAGATTTTAGCTCATAATTTATGTATGGCAATTCTGACTTTTTAACCAGAACTGCAACCTTAATTTTAAGGTCTTATTTAAATTTTATTTATTTTTTTGTAAATCGTTATTGGGCCTTTTCACTATTCTAATTTTATAATTTGCTATTCTGTTCGTAACTTTCAATTGAAAAATAATCTAAATGCCAAGAGTGTAGAATAAAACACAATTATGAGAACTGTGAGATGCAAAATCTTTTAGCAAGTTGCTAACTCTCAATTATAGTTTCAAACTCTAGATTATTAGTTTTTATCCTGAAATTCTCACTTTTTTTCTAACAAAATTGTGACTTTATTTGTCATCATTGATGAGAACTACCTTCTATAGATATTCCTTCTCATCTGCAATAAAAGCCAAAAAGCTACAAAACAATAATTTGCTTGTGTTGTAACAGGGCAGTATCTGCAACGATATCGCCGTGTCTTGCTGCTGTGTTATGTGCTCATGGTGTCAGATGAACAGAGAAATTAAAGCACGCAAAAATGCACCAAACATGATATTGACCACACAACCGCTGGTTCAACAATCAACCACCACAACACAAGTGATCACTTCACAGCAGACGGTTGGAATGCCGGCAGCTCCTGCAGTCCAGATGGTGCCGGGTCAACCAGTTATTGCCAAAGTTGTTCAATAGAAAGTCATACTCAGGTGTGCATTACACGTAAATAATGTTGACACGTAATCCCTTTTGATCAATATTATAATATCTAATCAGCTTAATTAGAATAAAAGACGTATAAATTCCTTGGGTGAGTTTAAATAAGAAATGTCTTGGTATTGTTTACTCTTTCTGATTTTTCTATGATTGAGTCTGGTGATCAGAAATATTTAAAAGATTTAATATTCAAATAATAAAAAAATACATCTGAGTAAATATTATAATAGAAATCTCCTCTCATTGGGTGTTACATGTCTTGTCTGTTTTTTCCTTGCTTAACGTGTCCATGTTTATGTTGTGTCTGAGCACATGGCTTATCCTGTGTTTGTGTCTGCCATGTGCTCCTCTATTCCTCCTTCCTTTTTTCCCAGCTGCCACGCCCCTTTGTTTAGCACTTATCTAGTTCTTTTAAGTCTTAGTGTCTCCACCTGGTCCACAAGTTCTTTCCTCCCTTATATTGTGCTCTCTTCCCGCATGTTTTGGCCTGTTCATGGTTGCTTGTTTGAGTCTGTGCTTCTTTTTCAGTCTGTGTTTTGTGTTTGCTGTGCTTTGTTGTGTTTGTTCTTATGCTTCTAGTGTCTCCCCTATCCAGTTTAGCATTTATCTGGTATCCTTGTTAAGTAGCTTAAGTGTTTGGTTTCTTTTATTTGTTAATTTCTTCCTTTTTTTCCTCTTAGCTTTGTATTTCCTACAGTTTTAGTATTACCTTTTTGTGTTTTGTTTTTTTATAAAAAAAGATTGTGTGTTTTGTTTTGTTCCCCCTGTCTGTTCTGTGTGCCTTGTCTCTGTTCTTTGTTTTTGTCCAACCCTGCCCACTGCTCAGTCTCCTACCCTTCCGGCATTACTTGGATTCTGGCTGCATTATCCGGGATTCACCAGCACTACCCAATACATTCACCATTGAACTGTTCTGCACCTAACCCCTATTACATTGTCACATTTGTCAATAAACATCCTCTGCACTCAGTCTGCATTTGGGTCCTCTTTTCTGAATCCTTAAAATCTCTTTTTTTTTTTTTGGATTACATTTCTTGAGGTTGTGTTTACATGGAGTGTACTTTAAACTGAAAACATTGTAACAGATATAAACATTTAAGTAATTATCTGTAAATTACTGTTAAGTTCTTTTTTAAAGCCTTTCTTTCTTTCTTTCTTGGATTTGCAAGTTTATAGGCAATCTTGCCGTTGTCAATTACTCAAAAGTGTGCAATGTGAACTTTTAAACCTAAAAATCTGCACGATATTACCAAAACAGGCCATAACTCTCAATAGTATCTGGATGCAGCCTTTATGATGCTAGCTGAGATTGCATCTCTCAGTGATGCCGTGTCAGACACAATCCACTCAATGGAGCTAGTGGCGTCACTGTGAGGGGTGAGGTTAGGTGAGCCCATTAAAAAGCACTGAATGCAGCTCAGACTGCATCTGCACCAGGTCTGCATCCAGACCCCTCTCATTAATCTGTCTGTTTATGTCAGTTTTAAAAAGTAAAAAGGGAGAGTTAAACTTTCAGAGTTATAGGCTGATAGTTAACTGAAGTTGTTAAGATATGAACTCTATATTTTACAGTTTTGAATTACAAACTAAGAAACATCAAGTTGTTAAAATGTTCTGTTTTTTTCTTTTGCTCTGCTAATTGTTAAATGCTGTGTTTGGTTGCTCATTGCAATATGCTGAGTAAATGGAAATTAAAGATAATTCATTCATTCATTCATTCATTGTCTTTTCGGCTTAGTCTCTTTATTAGTCTAGGGTTGTAAGGTATAAAGTTTAACTTAATATTTTGGTCAGTTTGACTAATGTAAGTTAATATAACTAGAAAAGAAATTTGTTTAAACTTTAAAATCAACTATTTAAAAAATAGACAGCAGTTTTTCCCACATTGAATAGTTTATAACATCACATCACTGTTCGATTTGAATACCATGCTCGAGAGGAAAAAGCTGGACTAAGACACGTTTCGCAAGAAAAATCTATTGCCAAATAGAGGAATTATGCTAAACAAGAGAGCTAATCTTTCTTTCCTAAGTAACTGTATGAAGGATTTTTCTTTTCGGAGGCAGCATTTTTTAAGGCGGAAACTGTGTAAGGCTTATTTGAGGTATGTAACAAAACAAATAAAAAAATTATAATAATATAACAATATATGTAAGAGAACTTGACAGTAAATAAGGCTGTAAAAGTTGCTTGCATTAAAAAGGAAGAGATTTCCATACTGATTGTTTTTGTTATTTTGAGAGAAGAAGAAATATGCAAGGATGCATGTCCCTCGTTTTCCTTTGGACTTCATTACTTCTATCTTTACCCTCTGGCTATAATGCTGACAAGATCCTGGTTTTCCCTATTGATGGCAGTCACTGGGTGAACATGGAGGTACTGATCTGAACTTTCTGAATAGCAGAATTAAGTATTTCTGCAAAAGTTTACTGTTTTTTTATATTGCTTGTCAAGTGTTGCTGTTGTGGAAAAATCTGTAAAAATATTTCAGAATAAAGATATCCATATATAAAAACAAGTCATAATCAACCACACAATCAGTAGATTGCGCAATGCACCTTGTTTAGGTGGAAACTATGTGTTTTGCTTAATTAAAAAAATAAAGGAGGGGAGTAAGGGGGTAAATTAACAAGTAGGGTGACCAGATGTCTGTTTTTAGTGCTCTGACTTCATATGAAAACAAAATCATGATTTTCTCTTTGCTGAACACTACTAGTAGCCTTCTATCACACTTAAATATAGTGTATGCAGTAGCAGTCATTTATGTAATAGTAAATTCTGAATGATAAACACCATCCAACCCCATTTCATTAATGTACAGTTAGTGAAGATGAGACACTCTCCAATGTAAGTTATAAAGAACTCAAGCGAGATCAGGATGGAAATGAAAGATATTTTTTATAGTTTTAGTGTATAAACATGAATGAATTTTAGAAAGAATGTTGAAAGAAACAGCACAAATGTATTGACGTATCATGTCTTGCGTAATATCTGTATCAGTGTTTCAACCCTGGAAAGACTTGACATTTATGTACCCTACTGTGTTTACCCTAGGAAAGTTATCAGAGTCGAAAACTCATAAGTTAGCAAACTAAATATTTCATTTATTGAGTTTTTTTTTATGTTAGCAATGATTTAATGTTTACATTTTAATAGCGTATTAGTGTGATTAGAGGGGGATTTGCCCAACCTGCAATTTATCTGAAAAATCAGGTACCCCTAAAATCCTGCTCACACTGTACAGTTTTTAGTCCTGATTTGGTGGATGCAAATGATCAGAATTTATATAAAGTTTACCAACACATTTTTTACAGCTGATTAATTTGCACAGAATCGTTCACCTAAAGAATAACAATGTGCTCAAGCAAAATAAACATTGTGCATTTTGATTTCACATGGACTCAAGATTAAAACAATCATAGAAAACATACTTGGATTTAAAGCCTATGTGCACTCTGTTGCCCCCTAGGTGCTGGTGAAGAAGCTGCAGTCTCGTGGACACGAGCTGAGTGTGATTCGCCTGGAGGACAGCTGGTTCATCAAGGGCAATTCACCTTACTACTCCTCTATTACAGTGACGCTTAAGAAGAAATTTATAGACCTGGACCTATTTGAGACAGCAGTAAAAAAGATTCTTGATGCTCGTAGGGATGGCCCAATAATGGGAGTGCTGGCACAGATGTCTGAATTTATAGGCATCCTAAAGGTGGGTCATGGTGCAAACATTGCTATGCTCACCTCCATGCTAGAAAACAAAGCTCTGATGTCACAAATAAAGATGGCCAACTATGACTTGATGCTCACTGACCCTGCCATGCCTGGTGGGGTCATCTTGGCACATTACCTTCACCTTCCAATGGTCTATAATGTCCGTTGGATGAGTTTTGGAGAAGGCCACTTCTCCATAGCACCTTCTCCCATCTCCTTTGTTCCTGTGCCTGGTTCTGGTCTGACAGACCGAATGGGCCTGTTAGAGCGATCCCGTAACTTTTTACATTATGGGCTGAACCTCATTCAAGAGCGCTGGATGGTGATTCCAATGTATACCAGCTTGTTGCTCAACCACTTCCCTCCAGGCACTGACCTCCTTACCATGCAGCGATCAGCAGAACTTTGGTTAGTGCGTGCAGATTTTGTATTCGAGTTTCCACGACCTTCCATGCCAAACCTCGTCTACATTGGTGGCTTCCAGTGTCGTCCAGCCAAGCCTCTTCCTGCTGATCTGGAGGAGTTCATGCAGAGCTCAGGAGACCATGGGGTGGTCGTGATGTCTTTGGGAACTCTGATCGCAGGATTGCCCAAAGAAGTCATGGAGGCCATCGCCTCAGCGTTTGCTCAGATCCCGCAGAAGGTGATCTGGAGGTTTATTGGACAGAGACCTTCAACGTTGGGCAATAACACCCTACTTATTCAATGGCTTCCTCAGAATGACTTGCTGGGCCATCCGAAGACTCGTGCTTTTGTGGCTCATGGTGGCACCAATGGTCTATATGAAGCGATTTATCATGGAGTTCCAGTTTTGGGGCTCCCTTTGCTATTTGATCAGCTAGATAACATTGTACGTCTTCAGGCGAGAGGTGGAGCTCGGATGTTGGATGCAGCTACTTGTAGCACAAAAGAATTCCTCGTAGCTTTGACGGATATCTTAGAGAACCCAACTTATCGACAAAACATGCAAAAGCTCTCTAATTTACATCGAGACCGGCCTTTGCACCCTCTTGATAAAGCAGTGTATTGGATTGAGTTTGTCCTGCGTAATAAAGGTGCACCCCATCTGCGAGCAGAGGCCTACAACATGTCTGAGTTCTCCTACTACTGTCTGGATGTGGTCGCGCTGGTTCTCTTCATGCTTCTGGGGACTTTAGGAGGTGTTTATACAATATGTAAAAGAAGACCAAAAAGACAAGAAAACAAGACTGGGAGAGATTGGAACAAAAAAGGTCTAAAGTAAACGGTTGAATGAGTCTGTTAATGCTGTGAAAGACAGTAATTATGTTCTCATGCCAAAACTAAAACAAAGAAAATAGAAATGTAGTAAATACTGTAGGATAGAAATCCTTCTAAATCCTTCTTTCAGTATTATTATTGTTGTTAACTAAAACTGTGGAGGCTTTCACACTGTGCATATCTGTTGTGTTCAGATAAGTGCAATTTCTTTTTGGTTTATAAATAGTGTGAAAGGAGCATTTAAAACAGTAATTAACACAAATCTATTACTGAATAAAATAATAATAATGTATGAAGAAACCACACTTAAACCTAAATAAAGAGTATTCAGAACAAAAGTTTATAAATTTACAAAATTATACTAAAACAATTCAAAATTTAATTGAAAATTCAAAATAGAAATAAATGCCACTTTTTAATTCTTTTTTCCCCCTTTTTTATCTATCTTGTCTTTGTTATAACAGTAAAATAGAAGAGAGTTAAATGACTGACTCTTGACCTAGACCATACTTGAAATCCAGTCCCACACACAATGGCAATTTTGTCTATTCACACTTCATTTATTTTTAAACTTTAGTCTTGGGATACCAAATTCTTGGGATAACCCTTAATCCTGGCTATTCATATTCTGACCATTCTCACTTGACATTATTTAACCCTGGGTTAACAATTATTTGCATATTTGTGGTTTCAGTGTCATTGACCGAATGAACACAGCATGTGACCTTTCAAAAGGCAAACATTATATTGTCTTGACTATTTTTAAGTTGTAATTGCAAATGGACTTTTTGGATTATTTAAGGTCAGAATAAAACTTTCTTCCTCACTTCAATTCTTTTGCATTTTTTTATATATAACATATTGACATTTTTCAACGTTAAAGGTTAAACCGTTTCCTTGACTATCCAATGTATGTAAATGTAATGCTTGTTTTTTTTTTTTTTTTTTTTTTTGCTATGCATTTACCCATAACATTTTAGCATGCTTTGTTTCACATTGTACTTGCTTGTCACCAATGTGGGGTTAACAGTGTAAAAATAGTGCTAAACCCTCCAGAGCAACATTTCATAACCCTGGGTAAAAACCTATAAACTAAATATTAAAAGTAATGTTGAGAACATTGATAACTTAAGGTTAGGCATAGTGTGAACAGCTCTTTTGTGTCAGACCATTGCACTAGCCAAACCTTTCTTTCTTTCTTTGCTTGCCTTTAATTCCCTTTAATTCGTTCCTTAAGCTCTCGCAATTCCCAGGAAAACTAAACTTTATGCAGATGATTAGGTACAGATCCCTTCCTGGAATCCTTAACATTTATTGTAATCCCCCTTTTGCACATAGCACATTTAAGAGCATTTGTAAAAAAAGAAAAAAGGTGAGTCACCGCTTGCATGATGTAACTCTAGGCAAGATGTGAAATAGTGGTAAAGCCAAGTTGTATGAACCAGTCAGTCTGTTCAGGATGTGACATGCAGATCCAATTTTCCATCTAATCATTAGTAGCTGAAGCGATAGAACACAGTGATTGCCACCATTCAGTTTTTCATTGAGTACAACATGGCTAATTAGCACTGTAATGAATAGCAAATGGTAAAAAATAAGCTTTTATCAGAATACAAAAAATCTGGTTTTATTTTAACATGATTTTTAAAGACTTTGCAGACGATGACCAGCAGATGGCACCATAGATGTAAATTTATAGTGTGTTTAGAATGATTTCTTCAATCCAAATCAGGTTATGTGCAATTTTACATCAGGCTAATGCTTTTTTATACACTGTACATAAACATTTCATGTTTCCATCAAACCAAAAATGATTAAAAACTCAATTAATCACAAACCTACCAAAATGTTGTGCGTCACATCCCTTTCTTATACCAACCAGAGAAGGAAGGATCTTCAGAAATGTGGCAGGAGATAGCTGCAAGCACATGCAGGGAGAGAATGATAAAAAGTAGACAGGCAAGGATGAGAGAGCTCTAACTGATTGAGGGGACATTAGCCTGGGCTGTACTCACTAATGTATGCTTCTAATGACTCGTTATCTCATTATCAATCTTATTCTCGCTCATCTTTTCTTTTCCTCACTCTCTCCCCTTCCTCTATCTCTCTATCTCCTCCCAATCGACCAGCAATGATGGGAATAGCAATTAGGACGCTAGGCTGCCAAATGGCTATTTTAATTAGCCTTTCTTAGCAAAAGAGAGAGAGAGAGGTGGGACGAGAGAGCGAAAGGAAGAGAGAGGGAGAAAGAGACTAATGTTCTTCATAAGTGCTACAGATTAGAAGGTCATTAGGCTTTTGCTTAAATTAATGATTAGGAATTCCTGCAGGTCATAGAAACTTATTACACAAGCCTACTTAACATTAATAGAACCATCCTATTTGTGTTAAACACAAAGAAATTAAAACTAAAAACCAATTACAGAGTGATGACATTGTCTTTCGCCCTCCCTCTGGTCACCCATAACAGAAAACTCTCTGGATATTAGTCAGAAACTCTGTAGTCGCACGAGGACAGATTTTCGCGGTTTCTAAAAGCTTTCTCCAGCTTCATTCTTTTCCTGTTATACTCCACGATTTTCTAAGGTTCATTTTCCTCTCAGTTTACAATATAACTGCTCTGTGCTCCGTCATCCTCAGCAAACTGCGGTGTTTCTCCGTCGCTTCCCGCTCATTGTGGTACGTAATTTTCCTCAAAAGCACATTGCAACATTCTTGTGTGTTATTTGTTCATTTGTGGCTTGTTTGGGACACAGACTGGTCTGGCGAAAATCTCTTCAGAGGCACTTTCCATCCCAAAAGAGATAGACTACTCATTTTTCAGTTCTCTCGTATCCATCCTCCCCTGACGCATAAACTCGGCAAATATACACAAACACAAGGCCTGCATTTTGTAAATAGCTAGTAAAAGTAGGCCTACGGAACAAATGCGAATGTTGTACGAAAAAACATTATACATCATCATAAAATGATGGTTAAAAATATGCCACAGGCTTCGAATGATTTGTGGTAGGAACAAATTCACTATTCACAGATTATCTTTCCCTCCAGTGAGCTGTTAACTGCTGCAATGATTCAACGAATCAGTCAGTTAAACTGAAGAACCGAGTGAATTTGATTCATTAATTCTTCAGTCTGTTTGTTAAAGGAATTTAGAAAGATGCAATGAAAAAAAAAGACTCGAAAGCACACTCAGGACAAAACGCCTTCAAACAGAGTCAGATTAGACAAGCAACAGATTAAAAAGTCATCGTGGGATAAATTCAAAAGATTAGACCGCAAAAAAACTGACATTATATTTACTCACTGTGATACGCTTAATGTCCCTCTCACTCTCATCCATAATATCAGTCAGTAAATGGCATTTGGAATTTAAAGGACAGTTTGCTCAAAACTGAAAAATTCTGTCATTTTTTACTCACCATTTACTTATCACAAACTTGTTTGAGTTTCTTTATTCTGTTGAACACAAAAGAATTTGGAAAAAATATTAAAAACAGTATTTATTTTCTTACTAAATACTTCAATGGTTACTAACATTCTTCAGAATATCTTATTTTGTGTTCCACATAAAAAGACCATCATAAAGGTTTGTAACAACTTTGTAAATTATGAGTAAATGTATTATTTAGCATTAATAAGTAAGATCTAATTTTTACATTTTCACATGCTCTGTTTTGGGATGACAGTAGCTGGCACAGTAGGTAGTGCTGTTGCCTCACAGCAAGAAGGTCGCTGGTTTGAGCCTTGGCTGGGACAGTTGGCAATTCTGTGTGGAGTTTGCATGTTCTCATGTTCACGTGGGTTTCTTCCAGGTCCTCCAGCTTCCCCCACAAGTCCAAAGACATTTGGTACAGGTGAATTGGGTAAGCTAAATTGTCTGTAGTGTATGTGTGTAAATTAGTGTGTATGAATGTTTCCCAGTGATTGGTTGCAGCTGCATCCTCTCTGTTAAAAAAACATGCTGGATAAGTTGGCGGTTCATTCTACTGTGGCGTACCCAAATTAATAAAGGGACTAACCTAAAAAAAAAAAAAAAAATTATAATAATTAATTAATTATCTGTTTTTGCCTTCACTGTGGTTATTTTTAGGGTGTGATTACTGATTTCTTTAGCATAGTTACAAATTCATATAAATTAGCCACTAGTTTGCCAAAATGCAAAATAGTAACAATTTTCATGTGAGACCAGGCTAAATAGATTGAAACCAATAACATTTGACTGTATGAACATTTTAGGATGAAATTTTAGTTGTGAAAGTGATATATTTTGTAAATTACAAGATTTTTTAAGGAAAAAACTAGAAAGAAAACATCATAAAATGTAAATCAGATCAACCAAACAAGTATTCCATAAACCATTTTATATGTAATAACCTTTTGTGTTATTTGTTTAGTAATTTTATGGAGTGATGTAAAGATGTAGTAAAGATTAGTGAAAAGCAACATAAACTCTGTTCTAATTCCTTTTAGTCAAATGATTTATCTTATGATTTACCTTAAATCTTCCAGTTCTGCCTTGTATTTTGCATATAAAAGCATTCTCACATTTGGGCCTTCACAAATAATGTACAGTAAACATATCATAACAATAATTACAATGTACCAACTGTGTTGTATTTTTAACAAATAAACATCACAACAATTCCTGTGGCTGTACATTACGGTCATATTTGTATAGTGTCCCTCACTTTTCTTTTTCTCTGTCTCCTTCCTTCTCTTCTTTATCATGACGTGCCCCGAGGTTATGATTGTTATGATTTATATCGGACTGTTCTGAGATCTCTCTGTTTCTCTGCCCTCTGTCTTCATCTCTCTTTAGCTTTCTCATTCCTCCTCTCTCCTTTCTAATCAGTTCTCCTTGCATCCCCCCAGGTCGATTTGGGGAGTAATAATGAAAGAGATTTAACCCTTTAATGCTGAACCGCTCTGACCCCCAAACACCTTCAATCCAGCACACATGTGAACTGCTATAAATAAATAAATACATATTTAGCTGTGGATCACAGCAAGTGCTGATTGCACTAAAA